TATCTTATCTCAAAATGCAGATTCAGTATCATTTCAAGATTCATGTTTAATTACACCTATCGCAGTGTCAGTATCCTTGAATATTTTATATTCGATTTCATTATATGATTTAATTTATACCTTTGTTAATATTTATCTATCAAGATATTTTAATATTAATTTAAATTAAATAAACAATTTCTTTAAAATGTAACATTTTATAGATGTGACTAAATATTTATTGTATTAAAAAATAAACGTTTATTGAGAGTGACAAATTTTTTTTCTTTAATTTTTCCACTATCGTGATTTTTAAATTCAGATTCTGCAATTCGAGTAAGAATTTATGTTTTATTAAAACACAAGAAAAAAATACATATTTTAGAATCGATGGAGTTAGTGTAAAAACCTTAATTACCATATTCAATAAGCAGCCTGGCTATCTTGTTGCACTGCTCTCCAAAGCTTATTTCCTTCAACAACGAGTGCAAAGGGGTATCGGCAAACGTATTTTTTACATTGACGCAAGCCCCTTTCAGCAGGAGATCTTCAACCGCACTCTTATTTCCGTGTCGAACGGCTACATGCAAATTTGAGCAACCCCGCATACCAATAGAGGAGTCGATGACATATTCGGGTAATAACTCGACTAGAGAGCATTTCCCGTTATTCTGGTGGAGCTTTTGATGGTCCATCGATTCCGCGCAACATAGTAGACTTTCGATGAAAAAATTTCCGCGATTGTCGAATTCCGGCGCTAGTTGTAGTATGAAATCGACAAATGACTCTTCCTGATGGCCCGAGTTGATACACATGTCTAGGATGAATCTGTTGATATTACTGCTCTTTGCGCTTGAGGAAACAGAAATTATTCAACGTGAGATCGTACAATCGCTGAACGTGTAAAAAAAAAATATATATATATAATTGCACCTACAAGACCTGTGTTATTTTTCCCCCAAGTGACTATATATACCGCGAGAGTCACATGACCTTTTGAAATTCCAATATAATAAACCCTACTGCCTAAGATCTGAGTCTTGATGATCCAAGTATTGTCATTATTTTAATCGTTATCATGAAATGAAAAACTCGTTCCAAGTGGTATACTATAAGTATGCAAGCAATTTTATATTGCAACGTTCCGAATATAATGTTTCAGCAACTATTAACATTATATTGCTTAAGTTCTATGAGTAATTAAAGTTTTTTAGTGATAAAACACGGTAATTATGTACCGGGGGTAATCTAAAATAATCCAAAATTTAAACCAGCCACAACACTGACCAGATTTGATGACCTTCATGACCATGGAGATCTGAAATATTTTTGTTATATTTCATTATTCTGATGCAATAATTTAAGTGGTGCCATGTGGTCAATTTTATAAACCAGCCGCAATTTAAACCAATGGATAGAAAATCCAAAGTTATTGCTATATAGAGCCAGATGGAGCAAAATTAGAATTTATCTTTTACCCAAAAATGAAAAATCGACCTTCAAAAACATAGACCCCTCTTACAAAACAAAACCAGCCCCAACTTTACCGGTTGGTTTTATACAATGATTGATAACAAACAACAAAGTGTCGGCAATGTAAAAATTTAATAAAGAGGGAAAAACGACCGCTCCTCAAACGATAGTCTTATCTATAACACTCATCTAAGATTATAGAAAATGCATTTCTAGATAAGATTAGCATGAGATTAACGGTCCTTTTTCCCCCTTTATTAAATCCGAAGATTACCGCAACTTTGGTTATTATTCTCTTTGTTACAAATGGTTGTGGAACTATGGAACGCGCTTTGTAGAAATGAGTGGAACAAGTAGAATGACTAAACCATCAAACTGGATCATTTCTCATATCTGTATCCGGAAGATTTAGTGATGTATTATTTATTGATGTAAGGAAATCGATTATAAGGTTGTCATGGAGTTGTAAAGTGAATAAAATAAATACTTCTAAAGGTTCATTCACAAAAGTTGTAATGAAACTGTTAGATTTATGTAAGAACTAATTTGTTTAATTAATGTCTGAGTTCACATCAAGATACAGCATTATTTGAGGTTAACCACACATCTTTTATGTTTAGTAACTTGGAAATATAATTACAAGAGACACTCAAAAAAATAAATGTAAAACATGAGTAACAATTCTCCAACTTGTTGTAA